TCAAACTTGGGTGCAAGGGGGGGGATATAAGTGAGAGTCTAAACTACTCTAAACTAATCTAATCTACGGAGAGGGGTACTCAAACTTGGGTGCAAGGGGATGGGCTCCCTGCCCTGGCCAACTACCCTAACCCACGTTTGCAATTAAGTAGCAAATATTAAGGATTTAACTATCAAGATTCCAGTTGCTGAAATAATAGTATCTGAAACCCCTAAATTAAAAAACACAAATTGCAAATGAGATAGCATCGAATGGAATTACACCCTGAGAGAAATGTCATTATTAAAGACAGACAAACCTTAATATACAACATGGCCCAACCCACCCTCATATAAATCTAAGACATTTTGTAGGGCAGGGGAAAGAAATCACAGGCCTATGATTCTCAGTAGCCTTAAGCCTCCTGCTTGCATCTTGGAAAAAAAAAATTACTTAGGAATAGCTCTAAAGGAATCCCTATTTGACCTCTTTCCCTTCCCCCAATCTCATGGTGTAAAATTAACTGGAAACGAAGGGCAAACCTAAAGCATAATGCTCCATCAATGCTTTACTAATTTTAGCATCTAATCGCAGTGTAATCTATAGGTTATTTTCTTTCTTTGTTCTGAAAAACAATGGGCACAAATGCTTTACATGAGTCCATAATAATTAATAAATGCGAAGACCTCTGTTCAATATTTCCAACTAGGATAATGTCTGCAACCAGAAGAAAAGAGATTCTTAGAAACAAACCATCAGACTCTGAGTTTCTGAATATGTCACTAAACGACCGCGTGGATTCCCAGTGAGTTTAAGTTTCGTCTGCAAGTAGAAAAATTAATTAGAGCAGTGATCATATATACCAAAAAACACTAAATAAGAGACTATATTGAGGGCCTCAGTAAAAGGTAAAGAACAAAGTGAGATTAAATGATGGCGGGGGCTTATCTTTGACTACGACATGATCTTATTACTTACAGGTAACTTTGATACAATGAACATAATCTTTTCATTTTTCACAATATAAAAATATTAAGAAAGTTGGAGAGCCAATAACACATTTAAATCCATACACTGACAGGTACAAACCTGCTGAGGCATTTCAACTTGTTTTCCCTCAACAAAGTTGACGAGGTAGAAAAGACCAAGATTTGAAACATCCTGCATGAGGCATTTCCATCAGTACAACCTTAGGCAGATAAATAAGGTGATGTGTGTATCGAAATAAATGCAACAGCCACTGCAAGTACTCCAAAGCAAAGACATATCTTACTTATAAAAGTGTTACATGGTGAAAGAACAGAGTTATATGCACATTAATTATGGCTTCTAATAAATACTACACTTTCTCATCAATTAATTATGGCTTCTCTATTCAAATAAAAATAAAGCTGTTTTACCTGCTTTTCTGAAATAGAACCTAGCTTGTAATCCTGCAAAAGGGAAAAGGAAGATAAGTTACTACAAATTCAAAGAAAAATTTCTCTGGGAGAGAGAGATGTAAAGGAAAATGAGTACATAAGGGGAAAGTAAAAAACTGAGAGAGCACATGTAATGTAAAACTCTAGGAATTCCCAAAAATACCAAATTTGGCCTACACCGATACATGTCGAAGCAGAACTCACCAAACCAGTAAGCGCGCTTTGCAACTCAGTCACGGTAACGTAAAGTTCCTCAATACTTCCTTTCGTATCACCAACCTGTTTCACAAGTTGTAACCAAATTTAGAGATGATGCCGAAAATATATTTCATATGCTACAAGACTCCATTTACATTAAATTTGAATGCAGGATTTTAAAATACTGAATTGCATACATTTAAGACATGGCACATCACATATGGATAGTGGATACCTAACCAGCTGTGACATTCATCCTATTAGTTCGACTTTGATAATGTCAGAAGTTTTTGCTTAGCCTCATCAAACTAGAAAATGGACAAGTATGTTTTTTTTTCAATTTATGAATTAAGAACTAAAAGCTCATAATATGCAGAAAAGGACATACATTCTCCAGAATCGACTTTGAGATCTCTTTCTGCTCCAGCAATTTATCGTCCAAATTCTGGACTCTCTGTGTCAGGTGCTTCTTTGTGTTCTGTCCAGCATAAGAATGTTTAATACAGTCATTTCAATTGTTTATACAAATTCTATAAGTAATATTGATGAGTTCTGTAAATCTATTTGATTTTGGGAACAAACATGGTCCCATAAACAGAAACTCAAACAAAACAGGATTTTTTTTTTTTTGGGGCATAGACAGCCGAAAAGAAACTTACAGCAATAGCCTCTGTCACGCTCTCCAGATGTTTATGCAAGTTTGAAACAGCAGCAGTCATACTACGCTTTGTCACATACATAAGATCTGAGAATTTTAGACCCTAACCATTTGTGAAGAGCAAATGTTAGATTATCAAAGAATAAAAACACTTTGCTTAAAGAAGAAAACAACTCACAGAACCAATGGTTGAAATAATATAAACATAAATATATCATCTGGATACCTTCCACCACATGTAACCATAACCCAATGCCCCCAAGGTAGCTGCTGGCATTATTAGTGATGTCAAACCTATTTAAAAAATCAATGAAAAAAGACAACCAATTATAAAATGTTTCTATTGCATTATGAAATACATACGTGTAAGGAATAGAAGTTTTAGAACTTAACCAAAAAGAAAGGGCGGGACCATGCATTAATTTAGTGGTTATAGGCAAGAGGAAAAAGCACAAAGCATGCTAAGAATTCATTTGAACACATAAGAGAAAGTAAGATACCAATTTGGCTGCCATTCCCATTCAGGACGGTTATCTGTCGTGACGAGCCAAGTTGCCGGACCTCAGCTGCCAGTCGGCGCACCTAAAAGAAAGTAACACAGGAAAATTGATATCCATTAGAAAAAACAAAAATTTAACACGATAAAGCATCCTTTGACACTAAATTTATAGCAGTTTTTCCAATACCTGTGATGCGATCGCATCAAAGTCACCTTCTGATTGTTCTCCGGTTCCATTCAACAAAGACTGCAAACAAAACAGAAATAAACACAAATCCATCAATTTTTTCAGCAACTAGACACAAGGTCCTAAATAAATAAACTATCTAACTGATCAAAACCCTAGTTTACCAAATGCATTAAAAAATTAAAATCTCATACAAAAATAATACCATATAAAAATTTGCTACGAGTTCCACTAGCAAAGCAGAGTAAAAAGTATGAAAATAGTACCTGAAGTTCACCGATCAAGTCAGATAATTTACCATTCTTAAGCAGGATGGTGCTAGTATACCCTGTACAGAGAGAACAATCACTCAGATCGAATACAGCTAAATACACAAGGAAACTAATCCAGTATGCAAGATGAAAGACGAGTGATTGGTACCTGCCCCAGCTAAGATCAGGATCTTGGAAAACCCTATTCCGCTTTGCATAGCCATGGCTGTGTTTGTTTGGATCAGAAACTCTAGGAGGGTGGGTAGGGAAGAGTGTTGATTTCGGGAAAGGAGGCTTGGGTCACGGAATTTTGAGGTAGGGCGCTCGTGGTGAAGACGACCTTTTCTAAGATGCTGGGTATGTTGCACTTTCTGCGAAACGACGACGTATTAAGAAGTACAGGGAGAACCGCCTTTGACTTTTTTCCACTCTCCACGACGTCGTTGCAAAGCACTCCTTCCTTGCCTCTTTTTTGCAAAGCACTCCTTACTAATGACGACAAGATTGACCAAAAAATAATACTAATTACGAAAGTGACATAAGTTGATAAATGACAAAATGAGCCCTCCGTGCGTGCTTTACTTGGCGCAATTTTAATTTATTTATCCTTGCCATATTAAGCTTAAACAAAATTAAAATTGATAATCATCAAGTATTCTTAAGCTTATACAAAATTAAAATAATTACAAATGGGAGTTAAACTGGCAAAAATAATAGAACATAGAGTCAGACCAGCTAAAATAATAGCATAGAGTAGAGAGTCCATCTATCTCATTGCACCCGAGTTTGATTGTTCGAATTCATAACCAATTAATATTTTTTCGCTTCTTTATGTTCTTTTGGTTTTTCTTTTTCATTGTCTTTTTGTCTATTATTGAATTTCATGGCGGGATGCCAGTTTAGACTTCAGACAGTTGATGCATGACCAATTTCATTTTTTGGATTTGTCTGGTAAGGCAGAAAATTGTTCGTTGGTTCAGATTGATGACCAATCTTTCAAGAAGATACAATTTTATTAGGACATGTCCTACTATTATGCCCATTTTGTTGGCACAACTTGCACTTGTATGCTCCTCTGCGACCAGAACTGTGAAAGCCCTTCTTTATATCAACACTAGACTTTACCCCTATCAGTTTAGGGCATGTCCTGCTATTATGGCCTCTTTGACCACATATATTGCAATGGTGATGTCTTCTAACTGCGCTTTTGTGGCTGCTCAACCTTGACTTTGGGCAGGTTCTTCTGTTATGGCCTTTTTCCCCACAAACGCCACACACGAACTGCCTATTTATCAGACTACTTTTCAGTTCTGGACAGTAGTGTCTCCTATGCCCCTCACGTCCACAGTGTCTGCAATAAAATTTCACTCCTGTATCCCAGAAATGAAGCAGATCAAAGCCATGAGGAAGGAGGCTGTGTAAGGCACAATCAAAGAGTCGCAAATGTCACTAACAACGGATGGAAACATGGTATGCAAGTTCAACTAAAGCTGTTGTAGCAGTACACGTGCTATGAAGTATAAGAACTCACCCTTCATCGCAATGCTCCTTTTGCGACGGTTTTCTGGGTCACTAAAGAAAACTTTTAAAGCTTCAGAAGCACGCTTTCTTGCTGCAGCAGTTCCCTTGGCTTTCTGCGATGCATACAAAAAGATGATGTTGAACATTTTAAATTTTTTATTTCAAAGTTAGAAATGAAAGCTTCAACACAAACATCCTTTCAGGCTGTAAATAGTCAGTGCTAAAGTTGCTTAGGATTTAATTATCATATACCCTTCCACTTCCCTTCTACATCCTAAATGAAATATCATTGCTTAATTTTGTTTCATTTGTTATTTACCATATGAAAGGAAATAATAAAAAAAACAAAATATTGAATCCTTGTTCTGCTTCTTTTAACTACTTCATCAACCTTCCGTGCAAAAAGACAATTAAAAAGAGTATGATTTGTGGAAGCCTTGACATTTTGGTTTGATGTTTTATCATGAGTTTTGAAAGTCCCTCGATGTAGAGACATTTTAAGTAATCTAATTAGCAACAAAGTTCCGTAGAATATATAAAACAATCACCCAAGATAAATATTTTATCATATCAACACATGAACAGTGATCAAAGTTACATATCCGAAGTTCCAAAAGAGTAATTAATCTTAAAGTTCCTTACCTTAATTGCAGCCACTCTTTGAGCATGAAGCATGGGATCCCTATGGATGATTTTCATTCGCTTACTAAATAGACCAGTTTTGGCATTCAAACTCTGCAATCACCAAACTAGACAAAGAAGATTAATTCATGATAGGGCCACTAAATATTGATGATTTTCCTTTAGTAGAACACTTGAAGAACAAATATATGCAAATGCAAAACTGAGCTTCAATACAACAAAACAATATTCCTGTCATGTTTTCTACATGCAACATGTCAGGTAAGGTTGAAGCAGACAACTAACTTTTAGAGATCGGCTGATCTTCAGTCCGACTTCAGGAGGTGGTGACTGGTATACTCGCTTTGATTTTTTCTTCACATCCAGCTTTATGTCTAAATTGTCGACTTCATCATCTTCCTTCATTTTGAGAGGAGAACTGAGAGGAGGAAAATAATTAATAAAGAAAAAAAGGTCTACGATCACTCTGCATCACCAGAGAGAATATTTTCAGCAGGTATAGGGGGGCCTCACTTTAACCACATATAAGCCTTTTCTGTGATTTTGAATAGCACATAGATTACTTATTTCAATGCACAAAAAGTAAGGGTTCAAGGTACCTTTAATGACTGTAGTTCCAATAGAATAATTTGTAAGTACATCTGTGGGTTTTAAAATAAGTGTGTTTAAGAGCAAGTAAATGTTTAGGTTTAAAACACCACTCAGAAAAGTAGGTCAAACATGAAAGGGTTACTAGTTTGATCTGAAAATCTAAAGCAACAGTACATGACCAGATAAGAAAGGCAGTGGCTAACATATTATAAATTAGATGGCAAATACAAGGCAAGGAAAATTATAAAATTTGGAAATTTAACCAAGAGTGTAAGTTAAATTGTTAAAGTAGGAAGGTTAAGAAGTTACATTGAGCGGGCTTTCTCCCATGGTCGTTCATCAATTGACTCTTCCCATATGACACAATCTCCCGAGCACTGACGACAAGTCATTATGCCCTGTTACCATAAGCAGAAGGTTAACAATTTATTGAGTTGCCCTTGAAAATCAATGCCTTATTCCTTCATAATCATTATGCGTCATAGTTACCATCTAATGATCGCACAATCATCCAACCCAAATAAATTAAAGATAAGAGGTAAGGAAGAATAATGTTCAAAACAACATTCAACAGAAATGAACCAATTTGGTCGGTTGTGATATTCAAGCACACTACTGTCCTTATTATTAAGTGCAGATGCTTCTCATGGTTTACTGATACACAATAAACGGGAAGAGTATTATACCTTCCCAACACACTGTGAACAATCTGATCTGGACCTTTCTATACCACATTCTGAACAGGGAGTATAGCCCCTCCCTCGACAACTTGGGCATGGTAGCTCTCTGATATACTGACCATTTGGACCGAACCAGGATCTTGGTTTGCGTGCACCCAAAGTAGCATTCCTAAAATTAATAAAGCTGTATTAGGAAAACATGAGAAGCATAGATGCAGACAGAAAATCCAATAAAATCCAAATTAATATCATTTAATGTATCAAAAAAAGAGCAATGATGCAGATAGAAAATGCTAAAAACTGCAAAATCAAAGATTGAGTAGGTCACTGAAGAAGAAAGCAGGCAACTTTAACTGTTCGCATAGATGCTGCATATAATCTTTAGCTGAAAACAATGCCAGTTGTACTCTAGTCCGCAATTAGCATATATTGGGCCAAATAATATCCATAACCCATGTACTATAAGCAATAATAAACGAAGAAAATCCATGATTAACAGAATTAAAAATGAAATGCTATACATAAACAAATGAAAGCTTAGGACTTCGAAAAGTTATAGACTCGCCTTGGCTTTAGATTGGCCTCGAGCCCGAACAAGTCCTCAGAAGGATCATAACCCAACTGCCATTACAATCCCAAAATACCAATAATCAAACAAAATGCAATCAGATTTTCCACAAAAGTTAAGAGTTTGAGAGAGAGAGAGAGAGAGAGTGCCTGTGTTGCTTTGGGAGCTGAAACAGAGTTGTCGTTGGTTGAAGACGAAGTGATTCTGGGCACGAAGCTGCTGCTACTACAAGCCCTTCTCTTTGAGTGAAGGAAGAGCAAGAAGCGCACGCTCTTCTGCCTCCATTGCGGGGCAAGTCCTAAGCAGCACAGCGACGACATTTGACATGAAAAAAGCTCGAGACTTTGCAGCCTTTGTTGCGATAGTACTGACATCTCACGGGTGGCTGAAAAAGAGACAAGGGGGAGCGCCATTTCACTCCCGAGGTCCACGTGGCACGCTGTGAGCCCATGAGTTAATGGGCTTGGGCCAAAACTTAAAAACCAAAAACATCAGCGGTTGGTCCATATCTGGCCCGCCATCGGTTAAAGCATAGGAGCCGGGAAGAGACAGAGTGACAGAGAGAGAGAGAGAGAGGAGTGTTAAGGATGCTGAGACTACACTCCCTAGCTTCACCGGCGGTGGCTGCACAAAAGCCTAACCAAAACCCTAAACAGTGCTCGCCCTCTAGGGTTTTCAGCACCAACAGCTTTGGCTTTGCTCCGAGTTTGAGCTCGTCGAGGAAGAGGCTCTCCTTGAAATGTCGCCAGTCTGAGTACTTCGACCAGCAGAGGGCCAGCACGGCCTCTGCCCCTAACAAACCTTCTCCTCCTGCTCCACAAACTCCCGCAGGAGGTACCTTTCTCTGTTCTTACTATTTTATCTGTTTGGTGTTGTAGAAAGTTGCTTCAAAATTGGATAGAGTTAAGGAACTTTTAGGTTACTGATTTATGAGCAAATGAAGAATTAGAAAGTTTAAACCTTTTCCACTTGATTGAGTTCTGTATATCCATATGGCCTGCTTAGGAGCTGAAGTACAAGGTCGAATTTGAACATGTTAAACTTAATTTTCTCTACCACCAAACAGGGGGTTTGAGTGGTTAAAGCTTGCAAAATGCTGGATTAATGTAATGAGATTTAACTAGAATTTATTTGTTTTTACTGGGATTAATAGATGTGTTGGTTTGGTTTGCGTGTGTAGGAACTGGGTTGCCGCCTAGGTTTTTTGTGGGTCACTCAATATACAAAGGAAAGGCAGCTCTTACCGTAGAGCCCAAAGCTCCGGAGTTCACTGCTTTAGATGTATGTTTGGTTTGACTGATGCTTCGTTTTGTTTTTTTAAGACTACAGTTCTTGGGCCATATTTGAACTTATCAACATGAACTGTGATTATGATG